GCTTCCTTTTGGGAAATGTGTCTGGTTTCAACCCAGAAACAGATTCTGTTCCTGCTAAAGATATGTATGTCATAGACCAGTATATGTTACACTTGCTGCAGGATTTTGCAAACAAGGTACGTATTAATAATGTTTTTTGAAATTAGATACATTTATTATATGTTAAAAATGTAATTTAAAAAAAATAATTTTATTGGTTTGCGTATATCATCATTTATATGCATTGTATTTTGTACTTTTGTTTTATTTATATATGTTGCATTTCATTCATGTATCTTGTATTTTATACAAGTCATTCATATACACTATATTTTATATAAGTACCATTGCTCTATGGCTATTCTCACCCTGTCTTTTTAAGTCCACAGTGAACATTTACCATTCCTTAATCCCCCCACCTCCACAATTTTCATTTCTTGAAAGTGAAACAAGCCTTGTTAGAAATACTTGGTAAATTCGGTTCTTACTAGGTTGTTTTGTTTTGTTTAATATTACATTTACTATGGTTGGTTAATAAGATATTGGGTTGTTAGGTTCTTTTTTAAAATTTTTTTTATTATTAATTTCAGTGAAAATTTACAGAGACTTTAGATTTCCATTCATTCATTGTTGTACTTTTCTCCCCTCCCATCCCTCCCCCCACTAGGTTGTTTTAAAACTTAGATATGATATATTAAATTTCCTTTCCTTGGTCCTCAAAGTATCAGAGGAATATGGTATAAACAGAAGCCCCAGGCTTCCCTCAGACTAGATTTTTTTTTAAGCTCAGCTTTGTTTCTATCTCTCTACTTTTTTTTATTTCCATTCATTCATTTTTGTACTTTTCTCCCCTCCCAGCCCTCCCCCATGTACACTCCCCTCTTGTACAAGTAAAAGAAAAATTCTTGTTTTGCAATCCCTCCTCCCAGGTCCACTCCACTACGCAGCCTTCACTCTCGACTCCTGTCATGACAAAAATACCTAATCATATATCCCTTTTAAACAGTTTTCTCCCTCATTTGTTTCAATGCAGTATACATTATTGAACCCATCTTTCTCAGTCT